AACATGAAAGGTCGTCTTTGCATGCATGACCAAAAAAAGACACCAACAGGGGATGAGTACAAAAATAAACCAAAGCAAGGAATAATTAATATTAATTATCTTGCACATACGAAAGCTTCAGCAACAAAAAAAATGGATAACATACCAAGTACAGTGCTTGGACTCTGGATAGCGGCGCCTCCCCTCCCTCCTCCAGCAGGAACAGAAGCACCACGGTCCCTTCTCTGTCTCTCCAAGACCAGAAGCGTTTAGCAGTGTGAGTGTGTGGAGAACCCCAAGGCTCCTGGACAAACACAGTGTTCAAGTAAACGGCATTTGGGGCTTTCAAGGAAAGAGGTGCAAGGCCAGAAGACATTCCCAGCTGGAAGGAATGGGTCTGTACCACATCTGAGCCGTTTTACTGTACAGCTTCAAATAAATAAACCAGCCAATCCTCTGAAAAATGACTTAAACTCAGCTGTTCAGTTACTCTTCTCAGTACAAGGGGATAGAGCAAGTAACAGAAAGCAAAATATCATGATTATTTCCAGAGCGGACAGGTGAGTCTTACACAGTACAGCTCTGCGTTTTTCCCGGCAGAGAGTAACGCTTTTTCTTTTCCAATAGCAAAGTCACAGTTCAAAGCGTGTTGTTAAGCTTTCACTAGTGTTATTTGGGTCTCAAAAGCATAAAAATTTTAGTGCCAGCCAAGCTTTTACCAGATTATTATGGACTTGAAAAGAGTTTAGTTGCTCTCTTGCATCTTTTAGTAAACCCTTGACACAGAATAGGAAAATTTTCTTCCCAAACAGAGCAGGTGTTTCTTTATTCAGCAACCAGAGTTGGTAAGTATCATATGAAAACCCATCTTTTCCTTACACTTTGTTTACTATTACATACTTCATATAGTATTCTGTTATTTATGTCCCTATTTTCTGATTGTTTTCACGCTCTTTGCTACTTTGTAACTATAGAAGAAGCAATTTTTTCTGCTATTATGGTGGTTGCACTTAGAATAAATGCAACTCTCTCCTTTCACTTTCTAAACCAGATTCTTTGTCTGTCTCTCCGATTCCCTGTTCCGTAGGGTACACAGCGGCCACGCTGCAACCAGTTTTTGAGAGACAGAGGAACACCTAATGATACATCTAATGATACACACCTTGGCAAACTACCACCAGTCACTAAAACTTTTAGGGTTCCATTTCCCAGACACATCAGAAACCAACTAGCAGGCACTCAGGAAAAAAAAAAAAAAATCAGTAAGAACAGTTTAGAATTTAAAAATTTGTAAGAACAGGCACTCAGGAGACAGCTAAATAGGAGGCGTATTCATGTTCTTTGCAGACTGCACAGAGACAGGACCTACAGCTCTGTCACTTGACATTCATATACATTAAGAAGCATTTCAAAAAGTTTTGGAAATGGAGATGGATGCCAGGCCAAATCCAGCTGGGCTGGGGGAACAGCTGTGCTCCAGATGTGGCAGGGTCCCTGCCCAGCCAGGGTCGGGAAACGCAGGTCCCTCCACTCCCTGCCACCTGCCCAGGCGTGCGCTGGGTCTGGTCAGAGGCAGCCTGGTACAGGTTTCCTCCACCTCAGAACGTGGCTTGTACGAATAAAACTGTCTGTTTCAGTGAGTTCGCGCGCTCCGACAGGGAACATTTCGCCTACGCGCTGCCGGCTGCAAGTCTATCCGGCCACCACCAAAGCCAGCAGAGCAGAGCAGAAGAACGAGAAGGTGACAGGACGCTTCCTTCGGCCGCCGACCTGCTGCTGACAGCGGCTGCACCCCTCTGTTGTCACGGCCCAGGGCGTGCAGCGCTCGCCTCCTTACGGGGCCCACGGATGCAAAAGCATTCCAGGTCCTCCAGTTCACAGGGAGCTAGCAAGATCTTCAGGGAGAGAACGCTGCTCTGCCCAAGCTTTCACAACAGCCAATAAATTTAAAAAAAACCCCAACACGTTTAAACCAATAAATACCAGTAAAACAAAATATTTGCAGTTTGTCAAAACCAATGAATTCTTCCCGCTGTGAAAGCAACGGGTGATGCTTTAAATCTAGGACACTGCAGCTTCCGATTGACTGAGTTTGGACAAACATAGCTGTTACCTCCTTGGCCGTATTCAACACTGATGCAAGTAGCATCCACACAGATGGAAACCAACTCACACCAGAAATTAAATGGGACAACAACAACAAAAAAATCAAAGAATAATGCATTTCCGTTCAAACTAAATCTTTATTCATATGGAAAATACTACTTTTCTTTTTGCAAATGATGCTAATAAATAAAAATACTCAGAAAGAACTTTGCTCAGAGTTAAGTGACTAGTTACAGCCACGTGAAGCTTTTAATTCCCGTTAAAACCACGCCAACAGTCATGCAGATTGGCTACGAGAAAGCAATATAAACTATATTTTATTTTGTGCAATCTTATCATACAATCTTAATGCTACCTTCTTCTAAACCATTTCACATAGATTGAAATGCAGTTTCGAAACAAATATTAAGGGACATACTCTACACTTATTCCACATGTGGAGCTGTGTATAGCTTAAGCCCATGAATGTATAATGTAGTTAAGCATCTAAAGAAGGTAAAAGAAAAGAGGACCTCATTCTGAAAATTCAGACAAGTTTATAAACATAAGAGAAGAAAAGCTCACACCAGTGAGCTCTCAAAAGACACATACATTATTAAAGCATAACATTAAATTATATTAAATTTAACAGCGTTCGTCCTTAGAACAGTTATTTCTGAGGAAACATCACTTAAAAAGCACACCAAAACTTTCACCACCAGGAGTTAAACTCTAAGTTTACATACCTCCAGTTCCCGCTTGGATGCAATTTTGTTTTATAATAGGCTTCAGCTTTGAGAGCATATTCTTTATCATACATTTAAAAACAAACTGAAAAATGTTGCGGTTAAGCTGTGCATCAGACACATCACCAAGGTGAGAAACAGGCACTTGACAGTATAATGTGCAAGGCAAAATCTTTACTGGTCACAGTATAAACAGTTTCTTCAGGAGGGAAACTAAAAGTTCTCAGCCCATCTCTGAGAGCAAAATACCGAGGGCTGCTGGCAGATCTTTGTCCATTCTTTTAGGTCAGCCCCACAACCAAACTAAATACTAGCTCATGCCTTAGAGGGTATTCCATAAACTATAAAATGCAGCATACTTTACCCAAGAATACTAATTCTTTCCCGTAATGAACCTCAGCACACGTACTTGCCAAAGGCAAATACAGAGTTTACTCAGACTAAATGATGCGATATAAATGCTAACCCTTTCTCCTCTATTAGTATTTTTCAAAATCTATAATGCCAATTTTACAGCTACATTTGCCAGTTACGAGATCCCGGTTTGTAGCACAAAACATTGATGTTCTTGCATATCAACTTACAAGCAATGTCTTTCAACATCCTATTAATACCGGGGAAAAATCCAAAACCAAACCCATTTTGCTACAGTTTCCCTCCAGGCACATCTCAACAGGAATCTCCAAAAAATAGCTATGCAGGAACTGTAAGCCAGAAAACTACACATGAATTGGAAGAGAGAGGAGAAAGAGAGAGCTAAGAAAGGAGTCATGTGGCAGTAACAGGAACAAGGTACAAGCCTTGAAGAAAATTGCATGCATCCCTTCTCACCAGCATAAGCTTCTTGCAAAAATATGCTTACAAGATCTCCATTATATAAAGGTATATGCTTTCTTGTAAAAATGCTGATTTTCTCTGAAACGCTAACTTGATCTTCCGACTGTACTGGCCATATTGCTAGGCAGTCACCACGTTTGCAGTCCGGTTCCACCAGTCTTAACAATCAGGAGGGAGAAGGCCTACTGTTCATTCCTTATGAAACTTTTGGTTTGATTTTCTTCCATGAACGTTAAAGTAGTATTTATGTAGGTCATATAAACAAAATGGAAACCAACTTTGGATCTGACATCAGCCGCACTGCTAATGAGAGACAATATGCTAAAAAGAGGCACTTTTAGTATTCTTATGTACATTTCAAATCTCAAGTTTAACACTTCACCTTCTTTTGCCAAAAAATTAAAATATCAGTAGCTAATAAGACAGAGCTCTATAACAAAAATGCTTCAGAAGTTGTATGCATGCACATACTTGCAATGGCTCAGTTACTCAGTTACCCTGAGTATGAATGCCAGAGTATAAGTCAATCACTGCTTAGGGGGCAGGGGGGGAAGGAACAACGCGGTACGAAACAAAAAAGTTGTCTGCACAACAAGGATCAGCTATTGTAAAAATGAAAACATTCGTCCTTCCGTAAGAAGCAACTTATCCCTAGATTCAGGACTACAGACACTGAATCTTGAGATCTTCTTCTACTCTATACTCACTGCTGCTTTCCAAATTTTCAGTCGGTTTTGGTTTTGGTGTAACATGCATCTTAAAAACCGAGAAGCTTAGCTTTGTCAAACAACATTTACTATTAAAAAAACCCCACCCCTCTGGAAGACCCATTTGACCTGACTTTTGGTGAAGATCCTGTGATGGAAGGAATTACATTAGAATAGTATTTTCCCATTTCATACGCAGCATAGCACGTCGTGACAGCTGAGCATCTTGTGTGCACAAGCTGAAGCATATGCTGAGGCTGAAGATTTGGAAAACAGTCCACCAAGTATAAGCTCTCTCCCTGCAAGCGACAGATCAGTATTCTCAGCTAAGCAGGGGCAGCGTCAAAACTAAAATTTTGAGTGGCCCTCAAATACCAGAAAAAAACCCAGGACCTCAAGCTAGTGGAAGTTCCTACATAAGGCAGTCAAATTTACAGCCAGTGTATACATTCACTAAGGAATTACAATTTTTTGGTAAAACCAACAATCCAACATACTGCAGAGTCTGAATGTGAAATATAGGCACAAAATAGATTCTCTACGTTTTTTCAGTGTGGAAAACATAGCTATTTAACAATGTAATAAGAAAATTTACTATCAGGTGAGCAAAAATCTGTAACAATCTGAATCAAACAAAGTACTGTATAAAGGTGCAATATTGAGCAGATTCGATTTTGGTTTAAACATACGAGTAAATCATGGAACCTTTCTCTTCTTCTCTAGAAAGTATTTCACATTACCGGTATCATTCTAGTTCTTCCCAGTTGTCAGTAAGGTTACCTTTGCTTTGACGTCTAATACTAACCAGCTTTCCAGCTGATTTGATACTCCACCTGGAACTGTTTCCTGAGCTGGCCAGGTTTGTGTACTTTGTGGAGCCTTTGGTTTCATCCTCCCAGCCTGACCAGGCTGTATAGTCACTTAAAGCAGCTGCTGCATCGCTTGGAGAGTCAGCAGCAGCGATCTGCGGTGGTTCCCATCCCTCAATTTCATCTGGTTTCCTAGACTGGACATTCTGCTTTATCACCAAACTGTCCCAAAAACCTGGCTTCTTTTCAGACTTCATCTCTTCCTTTAGCTTTAGGTTTGTTCTAGAAAAGAACAACAACGAGGCGATTAATTTCTTCGTTCAACAATGCATGGAATAGCTATTAATAAACATTCAATTAATTTATTGTGGTTTATAGTAAGAAATGCTAGTTAGTCATCAGCCGATGAGAGCACATCCGTTCCCATTGGCTTCAGGAGACCACCCCCGTACACGCGTCAGCCGAACCACGCAGAACCCTGCAGTGACCAGTCAGGAGCAGACCAAGTGTGGCCGTTTCCCACTAGAAAAGAACTTGCAATTTAGGACTTCAAGCCCCAAAAAACCAAAACACAAACTCAGAGCTAGGACAGTAGCAGGAAGATGAACATGGTTTGTCTACCACCAGCTTTAACAATCACTCACTATGTTCCTTGGTTTCCTATGCCTGTTACCACCTTGCCAGTTAAACCTGATACCCTAAAATACTTGATGTGCACAGCATCAGAACTTTAAAGATACCAGCATTTTTTTCATAAAGATCTGCACAATATTTTGAAAACAGCTGGTTTGTATTTCTGGTTAAGAACTTCCAGAATTCTCCTCCCAAAACCAAGAAAAAACCTTCGCTGTATCTTCTCTCTCAGAGACATTTCAAAGGTTACTCATATTATTACACTTCTTATCCCACTAAGAATATTCAATCTGAATTATTTCATCTTTGCAGTGTGGAGCATTTAAAACACAGAACATCAAATATTTATGCATAAATTTATATGCAGGGTTACGTATGTGATCAAATAACGGATCACAAGGAAAAGCTGAATACCAGTGGTGAAACACACAACATTCAGGGTTCAATGAGCTGAACAGCAAATTGAAAACTTTATCTGCCAGTAGCATACAAACCCCTTAGCCACAAATAAAGCCACCACTGAAATTTTTTTTTGTATTTCTATTAAAAGGGCTTTATTCCATTAATGAAAGCTTGACACTGTCATATTTAAATAGAAGCAACTGAACTAACACCTTTAAAATGACTTTTCCTTTACTGAATTTTGAATACGAGGAGATTTTTCAGAATTTTCATCTCACTAAAGCCAGTCACAGACTCTGGACACTTTTCTCATGTTTTGTGAGTAGTGCACTTGAAAAGTTGCATTTTTCTTTAAAAGTAAAGTAAAATTCATGGTATACAGTTATGGGAAAATACTCCCAAACTTAAAATACAGTCAGTTTTCATAGTAATGCTAAAACAGCTTTCCACATTTGTGGTAACTCAGTTTTCATACTCTGCTCTCTTCACTGGGTTACCTGATTCTTATATTCAGCATCAGTTGCAAAGGATCCTTGAAGCAACCCAATATCTTAATAGCACCCATAAAATTGTACAGGGACAGGAACTGGGAACTTTAGGGAAGTTTTATTGAACAGGCCTAAATGGAAATATATGTATTCATACCCTAATTTTTATTAAAAATATATATATATTTACACACACCCCTACACACACATATATACACTTGCATACTGAAATACATCTCTCAAAGTAAACTGGAAAGAAAACCTCCTACAGCAAGTGTTACCAAACCAAATATTTGGCTGGAACAGCTACACTGATAGGTGGCACATTTTTTCCTGTTTGTAGCCAAGGTGGTTAGGTACCACATGTCGTTAAAAGCTATATATATATAACAGTGAAACGGTCTGTACTGGGGAAAGCTCTTCTCTGTTCAGGGAACAGCTCTGACCATACTGGCAACAGAACCGTTCCAAGTAAACACCTCAGCTCTGACAGGGAAGATTTGCACATCCTGGTATAACTACTCCACTTAACCTTTTTTGGTGTAGACAAGACTTCAAAAGAGAAAGTAAAGCATGTAAAAAAAGGAATTTGTAAACTCAACCATAATTAATCCTTAAAAGTAAAGGGGGAGGGTGGGAATGACTCTTTTACTGAGAAACTTTTGCTCCTTTTCTACAGCAAAACATTATTATGCAGCTAAATTCCCTTTTCTTCCTGACAGACCTGAACAGGTTATCAACAACATCCATCCTTTCCTAATGCAGCATGCCTTATCCATTGTAAGCTTAACATACACATAAACCTTCCTCTGTGATTTAACTTCCAGGAGCTGAACACTACCGCTTCTCAGTGTCTACCTTCACTGCTATTTCCTGTTCCAGTTTGTGTATTTTAACAGCAGACAGACCAACTGGTTTTACTCACCCTTTGGATTTTGGAGACTTGCACCCTGCTAGCAACTGCTGTTCATCATCTTTGTTGAACATAGACGTCACTTCCTTCCAACCCCGGAAACTGGCACCTTGAACCTACACAGAGAAGCAAACATCCTCATCAACGCAAATGACAGGCTTGCACGCACGGAGCGCGGCTGCCAGGGCCGGGCCCGGGGGGGTGGCAGGCAGACCCCGGCCCGACCCCCCTG